CAGGATGCACCTAAGTTGTTTACATCACAAGCAGGATGTAGGAACAAAGAACCTCCGGTAAGCTCTCCGATGATCCTAAGCCGAGAAGGACACCGGCAGGGAATCTGAATAGGAAGGACACCTGGTCAGGCAAGCAAGGCAGCAGCCACTCACAGTCGGGGGTCAGGGCCCATGGCGCCCACAAGGCTTAACTTAATTGAATCTATGGTTTCCTGAGGAATGATTTTGATTTCTGCCTTAAACTTCTTAAAATAATTGGTAAAGGTGGAGGCCAAATCTTTGTGGCGTTCATCATTAGACGAAGAGAACAGCTGACCCATGACTGTGAGCAAATAAAGACCCTGAAAGAAAGAAGGAAAAGTCAGGAGGATGTGTATCAAATTGAAAATTTACATTTTAGTAAATTTCAAGTATATTGCTACCTACCCTCCTTAATAGTTGTAATTATACATTACATCTCCCACTATGTTCCATTTACATAATTGGGATTTTGTGTCCTTTGACTAACATCATTCTATTTCCCCCTCCCCACAGCTCTTCTCAGCACCCTGTTTTCTACCTCTTTGAATCTGGCTACTCTAGATTTCACCTGTAAGTGACACAATAGGGCCATTCTTTCTGCAGGTAGCTGAGACCTTTGCTCAAGTTTTTAATGGTTTAATCTGCATTGTCTCTTCACAGATCATCTCATCTTTTCAGCCTGCTCTGTGCCTCCCTGCTATGTAGACTACATGAGCAGAGGTCCCTCACCTTCTAGCTTCTAGTATTGTTCAGCTCTATGTGATCATGGCCTCAGTTTTGCCCTGCTTGGGCTGCATGTCTGACTGTGCCTGCACCCATCATTCTTTGTAATCAATACTGTTTGGCCTCTCTGAACTGTTTAGTACTCCAGGTATTTTGAAGGAAAGTATTTTCTTCTTATTATTCTATCTGCTTAGATCTGGTAATGGCCCCTTACACTCTCTGGTCTCAGGTTGTCATACAGTCCCCTATTTATCTGCTTGGCATATCCAAATTACTGAATTTGTTCTTTTACTGAAGTTTCTTCATTTGAGTATGTATTGGTGACTCCTTCCTGATGTGTACTATATAACACTTTTGCAATTGAGAGTTGGTTTCAAGGCCAATGTCCAAGCCTCTTTCTAAGGTGAAAAGGAACCAAACTTTGCAAAGTATAATGCATATTTATATGGGGTATAGTGTCTGCCAGTCCAGTCACCAGTGCCACACAGATATGTCTTAGACGACTTTCCTTTAAAGACACTTAGTGTCCCTGAACAACTAAATCAACAGCCAAGCCAGATAAAGTACTATTAGGACATCACCCATCCCAGTTGATGCTTGCTACATGGATGGTCCAAGCAGGGCACCTGCAGCATTTCCAATGAACACAGACAACATGTGCAGGAGACAGGAGGAAGAGTCGTCAGTAGGCTCAGTTGATATAGATAATAGTAATATGGATTTGACAATCTGTATTGATACTTCTGTTATAAACATGGGCTTTATATAGGTCATAAGTATGCTAATATATGTTTTTAGAAATGTTGAAGGAAAATTATTTGTAAATTAGTTTTGTTTTAAGATAGAGGATGGCTGTAGAGTTAAAAAAAGTAAATGTGTATCTCTTAGTTAGCTATATCTAAAGGTTATTAAAATTTCTAAGGTCAAAGTTCACTACACTGATACAGTTCTAAAATGTGGTGTTATTTATATCAAGGAGGTTCTCTTAAGATACTGATCAGCTTTGGTAACATTTACAAAAGTAGACTTTAAGTGAAATAACATTCATCAGAACCATAAAATGAAGGTTGTGCTAAGTTACAAAAAAAAAAGTACCCAACAGCAATTCATGACTGGTAGACATTACATTTTTATATAATGTTATGAGATTAGCTATTTTAATACCTAAATTGGTATGTACATTTTTTGTAAAATTTTCCAAACCTTATGTTTCCTTCAGTAAGTATTTCTGTTTCCTGCTGACAGCCTGACTGCTGACAGGGACAGGCCCTGGGTCCCAGCACTGCCAGCAACAAAACAGAAAACCAAGAATAGAGGCCACGAAACCCAAACCCTGCTCCCCATCCTCAGGGAAATGCTGACCCCAAAGAGTGTTGGGGGTTGGGCCCAGCTCCTTGCCTCCTGTCTAGGCAATTCCTACTAATGCCAGGGTCTCCTCTGAATTTTGTTATTCGTCTCCCAAGCTTGACAGACATCCAAGTTCAACTCTGTCAGCATCACATGAACCTAATACAGGAAGGGAGGTCAGACCTAAGCTTTTCTGATTGCTACTGAAATTCATTATTTAGTGATAAATTTGGCCAATTGCTAAAGCTTACTGGACCCTGATGAAAATGAAAATAGTGACATCTCTCAGGACAGCCATGAGCCTGGATCCACTGGATTTAGCCTGGTGAAAGTTATCAAGACTAAAGTTGCTGGGGATCTTTTCATAAAGCCTTCCATCCTTTGGTCCCCATCCCTTGTTCTAATTATACACATTGTAAAACTGTCTTCGGCCAGCAAAATACCTGATCAGGTAAGGCCACTTGTCACTCAGCCAGATGATCTGAGTTCTAGTCCCAAGACTCACATAGTGGTGGGAGAGAACTGACTTCCAGAACTTGTCTTTTGACCTCCACATGCATGTGCTAGCGAGTGGGCACCTAGCCCCAGTACATGAGTACAGAGAATGAATAAATAAATGTAATCAAAATACAAATAAAATGTGTTGTACAAATTCCCAAAGAACTACAAAAAACAAGAAAAAGGAAAATAAGGAACAACAAATTTTGTCTTATATGTCTTGCACTGAGTATGAAAAGACAAATGACAGTGATATGAAATACCAATCATTACAATGGGATGCACATCTTCATTAGAACTACAACTTTCCAATAAAAACCATGAAGTTAAAGAGGATTCCTAATTAAAAATGCCCCACAGAATCCACTACTAGTGTTTTGATAAATGGGCCAATTTCCTTCTCAGTACTTCTGATTATACCAGAGATTAGTGATACCTTACTCAGACAAGGGATTTGTTGGTGTTGATGTTGCTTATTTCCCATTTTTCTGTTTCTGCAGTGGGTAGGGTTTGAATGCACAGTCTCATAACTGGTCAAAGTGGTGAGAATATGTGATAGTTGAGTGCTCATTGCTAAAAATAACAGGGACATCTTTATCAACCCCCACCCTACCCAGGTTCAGGAAACATCCTGGAAGAGCCAGAGGAGGGGGGAGGGGCAGTGGCCTGAAATAATGACTTCTGAATATGACATGGCATTTGCATGTGTGAACTCATGGCAACTGGGGTTCCCTGCAGAGACTTCCACAGATCTAGCCTGTCCACATTTCAGCATGAAGGAAATCGAGGGCACATGAGAACCTAGCTGGGGAGATATGAGGATAAGTGACTGGTGGTCAGAGAGAGTCACTGTTCTTTAACGTGCGAGCACTAGAATGTTGCCCATGATCACCCCACAGCAGAACACAAAAGTGATCCTTAGGAAAATTAGTGGAGTATTTAAAAACATTAAGACAAGAAAACATAGGGGCAACCATTGGGAAGAGGAAGGATCCCAGAGAGAATAAGAGTGGGAAAAGAGAGAGGAATAGTGGGTGAAGACAATAAAAGTGCTACATAGATGTATGAAATTGTCATACAGTATATAAAAATATTTTTAAAACAAAACAAACCTATCCTAAAAGTGTTTCCCAGCACGTTATAGCAGAAGCATTCTACAGAGGGCATCTTTCACCATAGTCTAGCTTCCACTGGAGTTTAGAATAAGTATGCTGAGCTGGGTAAAAAGAGGCAAGAAAAGAGTACTAGGAAGTTACAAGACTGAGACACAACAATTTGCATATATTCTATAGTGATATTTCACAACATATATCCTAAAAGGCTCATTTTTCATCAGTTCTAGGGATTAAATGTCCTCTAAACAAACAAACAAACAAAAAATCCCAAACCAGAATAACTGCATAAATTTTAAACAATAATTTGGTCTTTTACTTTAGGTCTATCTAAACTTGAATGACTACCTAAGAACATCGATAAATAAGTCTTGCCTTTCTCTAATCAAATTCCCTAGCTTCCAAACTGAGGATCCCAGCTCTGAGGATATGTCTCTAAATGTCTTTTTATGCACAGGCTCCCTAGGAAAGAGACAGTGAGGGTGAGAAGTCAGGTCTGAATGCCCAGTTACCAGAAAATTCTGTGTCCAGGAGATTCTCTCAATGCTCGGGACAGAGGAATAGCTCTTGGCTGTGCTCGAATTTCTTCACTGGAACTCCACCTCTGCTTCTTCAGCAGAAACTAGAACTTACCTGGTACTTATATACTCTATTGGCATCCCACCTTCAGAATGTGCTAGCCAATCACAAAAGAGAGTGGATCCAGTTCCATTCCAGAATCTCCTGCATTTACAGGAACAAGAAAGTAAAACTAAACTCAATTTTGTTTTTCTTCAGTGATTCCAGGATTCAAGGAAGTGGAAATTGCCTTTTCATAACATTTTAACTTAAGTCTTAGCAAGTGAGAGGAACTCCAAAAGCAACTTACTAACTAGATTAGAATATCATCCTGAGTGAGCTAAACCAGACTCAGAAGGACAAAC